TTAATTAAAATAATAATGAGGAAACAATCTGCATCTATTTAGACTACAAAAAGTCAACAGAAAAGTCAAATCTCATATGCTGGCAAAGCTGTAGGAAAACAGTAACACACATATATTCCAGATGTTATTGGTAAAATCTTTTTAGAGGACATTTTGATACACGTATCAACTATCATAATCTGTTTTGACACAGTAAACCCTCTACTCTGATTTCTATATTATAGAATTATTGTATTTCTCCATTTCTAAAATAGTATCAATTTTTAAGATGCAACATCAGTTTAATTGAGGAAATATGAAAATTCAAAAGGAGAAAAATCCATATGTATGAAGATATTTACAGCAGAGTTATTCATAATTTTAAAAAACCAGCATTTGCAGCCAATAACAAGGAAATGGTTAAATAAAGTATATATATTATGTATAAATAAAATGGGATGGTATATGGTTAAAAATTTTATGATAAAAATGTAAAACCAAGAGAAAGTGTTTCTAAAATGATGTTATATAATGTATAAAATTTATAAGTGTATAAAATATATACAGCTTGATGGATGTTAGAAACAATATGACCATATGGATAAAATTTTGAAAGAACTCCAAACAAATGAAGATCATTATGCTGTGGGCATATTGGAATTACGTACGTACTTTAAATGCCCCCCATGTATTTTTAAAGCACTTTAATCCCAAATAAAAGATTCTGCAAACATTCTTATTGTGATAGCCAATTCTCTTTCTTGGGTCCAGTTTTTTACCCAACTTGGTGGAGTGAGTAATTTAGATATTGAGCTGGGCAGCCAGGAAGTAGGCACGTTGTGATTTTCGGTAATGACATGTAATGTGTTTACATAATCACTTCCTTCATGAGTAAAGGGTGTAATTATGCAGCCATCGAGGGGCAGAGCCAATAAAGCAATCACTCTCATCTCTACCCAAGAACCCTGCCTAGGCTTGCAGGAACTAAATATTTTTGAGGGAGGGAACGGGCTGGTAAGAATTCAGCTCCTCATCATGGGGAATAAACCTCAGCATCTCAGGGATGCTGGTACTTCTCTTTCCTCACAGGGGCTACGGCTCTGCCAGAATCCCAATTTCAGTATAGCTTAACCAGACTTTCCTGTTCAAAACAGCGACAGCCCCGGGGTGCCCAGCTGGCTCAGTTGGTAGAGCACCTGGCTCTTGATCTCGGGGTCATAAGTTGGAGCCCCACGTTGGGGATAGAGATCACTTAAAAATAAAGCCTTAAAAAAACAAACAAACAAACAAACAAACAGTGACAGCCCTGAAGAATTTACATTTTGTTATATTATGGCATGGGATAGAAGTGGGCACATTAATCCCTGAGTTTACACATGTGATCTACCTATGAAAACTCAAACTATGAAAACCCCATACCCAAATGGGTAAGATATTTGTCTTTCAGGATCAGAAGTTACCTACCAGGGCGCCTGGGTGGCTCAGTCTGTTGGGTGTCTGCCTTCGGCTCAGGTCATGATCCTGGGGTCCTGGGATCGAGCTCCGCATCGGGCTCCCTGCTCAGCAGGGAGCCTGCTTCTCCCTCTCCCACTCTCCCTGCTTGTGTTCCCTCTCTTGCTGTCTCTCTCTGTCAAATAAATAAATAAAATCTTTAAAAAAATAAAATATTTTTAGAGAAACAAAATGGGTGAAAAGTTGAATTCTGAAAAACATTTTTGTGCTTTTAAACCATATTTACAACAATTATTCAGACTTTCTTCTTTAATTGATTTTCCCACTCACCATCAGGACTAATACATGCACTTCTGCTTTACAAGTTTTTATCTTGATTAAACAGTCATTTATAGAGTACATCTGTGAGTGAATTTTCTTAGGGTGGAATCTTTTTTTTGTTAAGATTAAAAAAATTTTTTTAAGATTTATTTATTTATTTGAGAGAGAGAGAAAGAGACAGACAAGGCATGGGGGGGCAGAGGGAGAGGGATACAGAAACTCAAGCAGACTCTATGCTGAGTACAGAGCCCTATGTGGGGCTCAAACTCACAGCCCTGAGGCCAGGGTTGGGTGGGGGCCGGGAGTGCCAACCAAATTCCTTTGGATGTGGAACGTTAGTTTGCTTCTGATACATGTGACCACCAGTGGTCCGCCTCCAGCCGCATCTGGGCTGGCAGTGGGTTCCTGCAGGTGCACAGTACGAAGCCGGCATCCACCCACAGTGAGCCCCGAACTCCGGTCGCACAGTGGCCAGATGTTGTGCATGTAGTCAAGCGCAGGAAGTGGCACGAGGACCCAGCCCGAGTCGTCTGGTGAGGCACTACCAGCAGCCGCACCTCAGTAACGCTTTTTAATAGGAATTCTCCCCTCCCGCAATCCAAGACCCTATCCCGGATCACACATTACATTTTACTGTCCTGTCTTTTTTGTCACCTTTACTCTGGGGGACTTCTTGCCTTATTTGGTTTTTGATGGCATTGACATTGCTGAAGAATACAGGGCAGCTGTGTTGTAATGTGGCCGGCACGCAGGGGTGCAAGACCACCTGGCTAAGGGGTCCCAAACAGACCAGATCTGGCCACTCGCCGCTGACAAAATCCAAAGGCAGTGGTGGTGAATGAAATGAGAAAGGGATTTATTTAGTGAGACCAACACCGGCGAAGAGAGCGGACTAGCATCTCAGAGACTATCTCCAAAGTGCCAGCCGGACATGCATCCAATCCAGGCTGATAAGAGGAAAATGTGGGGCAAAGGTGGGTGGGTACATGCAGGTGGGCAGCGAAGGGCAAAGCCATCATGGTCTTGGGGTCAATCACAGGCGGGGTCTCACTGGCTCGGGGTGGTCCTTGTTGCTTGAGGGGGTAGTTTCAATCTCCATCAGGGGATGCTTTGCCCTCAGGGTCTTCTGGCTGAGCCAAGAGACAAGCTGGAAAGAACCCAACTAGAAAGTTCGAGGTCAACATGGAGGCAGCTGAAGTCTTGTTCCAGTAACGTGTTGGGGGGTGTTTGATGTTTTCTCACGATTACAATCAGGTTATGAACTTCTGGCAGGAGAATTTCGTAAGTGATGTTGTGTCCTTGTCAACATATTCTACCAGGAGACATCATTTTGGTGCTGACTAATCAACAGGTTCAAGCGGTGTCTTCCGCGCTTCTCCACTGTAAAGGTACCTTTTTCCCATTTGCAATTAGTATGAACTATTACATTTTGAGACTGTAAGCCACAGTGTACTTTTTGAGTTCTTGTTCAACCTCAATATTCCACAGGCACCTTTATTACCACACGTCAAGAACCAACCTCTTTGGCTTCACCCTCTGTACTCGGCTTCTCTTTCCAAATTTCCTCCCTCCGCTAGTAATGTCATCATCCTCCCAGACTTCCCAGCGAGAAATCTCAGGCATCTTTAACTTCTGTTTCTCCTTTCCACCTGAAGGGAAGGAAGCATTCTTCTCTACTCTTCAAGGTCTTCCAACGGGACTAAGAATTAAACTGACATAAGATAGATTAACAGGAGAAAAAAAATCCCAGTTTTTTTACATGTTTACAGTCATGAAATTGAGACCCAAGAGAATGACCAAGGCAGGGAGTTTTTAGACTTTGTAGACAAAGAGACAATTAATCTATGAGGAATTGACAGGGCAAAGAGAGTGGAATTTGGGAGCTTCAATTAGTAAGGAATTCTAGACAGAATTTGGACTGGGGTAGTAAATTACTAAAAAGTAACAAGGGTTGTGTAGAGGATGCTTTTAGGCAGCAGGCTTGAGCAATGGGATGTAGAGCAAGGCCAAAGGGCCCACAGGGACCACCGAGCTACACACAAACAGGCCCGTCAGTTGACTCATCTCAAAATCTCCCTAAGTTCTAGTGGACCAGCGGGTTACTTGCAACTGAGTACAGGTACCAAAAAAGGAAAATTCCATATATTCCCAGACCTCCTTCCCTTCCCCCTTTATTTATTTTTTTTTAAGATTTTATTTATTTGAGAGAGAGAGAATGAGAGACAGAGAGCATGAGAGGGGGGAGGGTCAGAGGGAGAAGCAGACTCCCTGCCGAGCAGGGAGCCCGATGCGGGACTCGATCCCGGGACTCCAGGATCATGACCTGAGCCGAAGGCAGTCGCTTAACCAACTGAGCCACCCAGGCGCCCCCCTTCCCCCTTTAAATACAGCCCCCAACACTGCCTCCTGGCAGACAGTGTCCCCTCTGCTGTCCTGCCTGCTGTTCTCTTGCAGTGTATCCAATAAACTGCTAGCTCCTTTGTTCTGCTTCAGGTGAATTCTTTCACTGCCTGTACCACCGGCTTCCACCCAATTGGGTCGCCCCATGTTTAGGGACCCCCATCTGATCAAGAGAGACACCACAGGTCATTTATACAGCCTTCTGGGCTCAAAATTTCCCATCTCTGGTGATCAGGATGTCTCTTTCCTGCCTGCCCCAGGAAGGGTACTTTTCATATGGGAGAGTTATTTCCTGCTTTCGGGAGGACAGAGGAGAGTCTGAGAGTCCTTCTGTGCAGGCTGCCCCTTAAGTCGCTTTTATTTACAATAATCAATATGCCAAAGTGGCACATTTGAGGGCAGCCTGCCCTGGGCCCCTATACACCCAAACAGCCAACGAGTCCTGATTCCATCTCAGAAACATCTCCCAAATCAAGTGCCACCTCTACTCCGATACTCCAACAGCCTCCTAACTGGCCTCGGTGCTTCTGGAATACCATCTCTATTCTAGGCCATCCTCCATGCTCTGCCAGAATGATTTCCCCTAAACTTGACATGATAGGGTCACTCACTGCTCTGCTGAATGTCTATCCTCTATTACTGTCTATCTGTTGACCTCTCTTTGTATACAGAAAGTAAATGTTCAGGATGTATAGAATATCATCCAAGATTGCATAACTTGACCCCAGTCTAGCTCCCCAAACCCCTGTTTCTGCACTCCCCACTTTTCCCCTGAACACCAGCCAAAATGAACTCCTCATTCCCCACAGGTTTCACATCATTCAAAATCTCACGTCTTGGTCCCTGGTAGTCTCTCAACTTGCGATGCCTTTCCTTCATTTATCCTTATACTCTTGCCCAACCTTTCCAGATTTCTATCAGACTCTTGTCTTTGATGATTTTCTCAGCCCCTTCTTCACAGGAATTAGCTGCCCTCTGCCCAGACCTCTAAGCTCCTCGATTACCAAGACTGTTGCTCACTCGGTGTTGTGCCCCAAGCGCTTAGACCATTGGCAGTCAGTGCTTCATGAACATTTGCTGAGGGAGAGAAGGCACAGTGCAGCCGACCACACACCTCAAGTTGTCTGACAGAGTGTGACACTGAATGGAAAGCTGGGCATAGCACTGCATGGACATTTCATATATTTGTGTCCTAGAAACAAGAATTTAATACATCCAGTCTCATCGGCACGAGAGTTTCCATTTCCGCATGTACTGACGTATGTTGAGAGAATTTCGAGCAGAGCCTAAGTTGTATCTTAGTTGTAAAATGGAAATGTCACTGAAATATTGCATCATGTCTTGGGGACCTGAGAAAGTTACTATTCCCAAGGTTGCTTAATTCACCGTGAGTTAGTTTAGTTATTAAACTTTGTCACTCACTGCTAAAACATTAACTAGAATAGCGCATCTTAATTGAGGGGGTCTTTTTTGGGGGGGGGGGTTCGGTTTTTTTTGTTTTTACCTTCCATGTTCAGGAAAAAGAAAGGATGTTATGACCGACTAACAAAATTATTACCAGAGATTTATTTCTAAAAGCATCTTTCAGCCCTGCCTCCAGGTTCTGAGAAGATGGCGAAGGTCTCAGAGCTTTACGATGTCACTTGGGAAGAAATGCGAGATAAAATGAGAAAATGGAGAGAAGAAAACTCACGAAACAGTGAGCAAATTGTGGAAGTTGGAGAGGAATTAATTAATGAATATGCTTCTAAGCTTGGAGATGATATTTGGATCATATATGAGCAAGTGATGATTGCAGCCCTAGACTATGGTCGAGATGACTTGGCATTGTTTTGTCTTCAGGAGTTAAGAAGACAGTTCCCTGGCAGTCACAGAGTCAAGAGACTAACTGGCATGAGATTTGAAGCCATGGAAAGATATGATGATGCTATACAACTAGATGATAGAATTTTACAAGAAGATCCAACTAACACTGCTGCAAGAAAGCGTAAGATTGCCATTCGAAAAGCCCAGGGGAAAAATGTGGAGGCCATTCGGGAACTGAATGAGTATCTGGAACAATTTGTTGGGGACCAAGAAGCTTGGCATGAACTTGCAGAACTTTATATCAATGAACATGACTATGCTAAAGCAGCCTTTTGTTTAGAGGAGCTAATGATGACTAATCCACATAACCACTTACACTGTCAGCAGTATGCTGAAGTTAAATATACCCAAGGTGGACTTGAAAACCTCGAACTTTCAAGAAAGTATTTTGCTCAGGCACTGAAACTGAACAACAGAAATATGAGAGCTTTGTTTGGGCTTTACATATTGCTTCTAATCCAAAAGCAAGTGCAAAAACAAAAAAGGACAACATGAAATATGCTAGTTGAGCAGCTAGTCAAATAAACAGAGCTTATCAGTTTGCAGGTCGAAGTAAGAAGGAAACCAAATACTCTCTTAAGGCAGTGGAAGACATGTTGGAAACACTGCAGATCACCCAGTCTTAAGGTTTCAAACTCTTTCACATTACATTTCACAACTGCACAATTGAACTTACTGGCCTGTGACTTATTTACTAAATGCCTAGTGCTATTTATATACTAATTTTTTGTTAAGAGGGCAATTGTAAAGAATATTTATATAAACCTACAAATGCCTTTTATTGCTAAGCAGGAAGATGGAGAAAGTCCACGGAAGAGAGATTTAACAAGATTCATATTGATTGTACATCATTCTCTTCATATCACACATATATAGCTTCTTTTAAACCACAACCTGATGTAGAAATCCCATAAATAAATCATGTGATTTATTAAACTTGCATTTGAAGGTTAAAAAATAAATAAATAAATAAATAAAAGCAAGCATCTTTTTTTTTTTTTAAAGATTTTTTTTTATTTATTTGAGAGAGAGAGAATGAGAGAGAAAGAACACATGAGAGGGGATAGGGTCAGAGGGCGAAGCAGACTCCCTGCCGAGCAGGGAGCCCGATGCGGGACTCGATCCAGGGACTCCAGGATCATGACCTGAGCCGAAGGCAGTCGCCCAACCAACTGAGCCACCCAGGCGCCCATAAATAAAAGCATCTTTCAGGTAACATAATGTGTCAGTGTGGAGTATTCTCCAATAGTAGACAATGAAAATATATTACCGTTATTAGGGGGAAACATAACACTTTATTTTTAAATGCACAGTATAAATCTTTACTACTTAAGGTAAAACTATGCTACAACATATACATCTCAAATCTCAGTGGCTTAGAAAAACTGGAGATTTATTTCTTTTTCATGCAAGGTCCAAAAGGGGTGTTTCTGATAGGTGGGTGACATTGCTCCAAGCACCAATTCTGGTACCTAGTTTTCTTCTAACTTGTGGCTCTGCCATTTTCAACATATGGCCTCCAAGGTCATAGGTAATAGGAAAGAATTCAAAGGATGGTACGTGGAGGATTGTAATGGACCAGGCTTGGAATTCATCCACTTCACTTCTGTATGCATTTCATTGGTTAGGATATAGTCACATGGCCACACCAAACTTCAAAGGGCAGCTGGGAAATGTGGGTGCTCAAGAGGCAGAAGACAGGGGTTTGTTCAACAGCCAGCCAATCTACACCAAGAAGGTCCGATTTTCTGTGTCTCCTTTATCAACTCCCAGAGGCCTAGTCTGTGAATAGCTGTGATCATAATTATGAACCCAGGGGCACCTAGATGGCTCAGTCATCAAGCGCCTGCCTTCGGCTCAGGTCATGATCCCAGGGTCTGGGGATCGAGCCCCGCATTGGGCTCCCCGCTCGGCAGGGAGCCTGCTTCTCCCTCTCCCTCTGTCTGTTGCTCTGCCTACTTGTGCTCTCCCTGTCAAATAAATAAATAAAATCTAAAAAAATAAAAAAATAAAAAATAATGATAATTATGAACCCATACTACAAGACTTAATTGCTGAAACAAACACCTAATTGAATGAATGTATGGTGCTTACAAAAGCATGAAAACTAAAGATTGAAAACAGAATGATTTTCTTAAGTTCATCCTGAGCTGGATAAAAATTAAATAAAAATATACTTGTGAAACTGCTTCAAAGCATACAGTTGACCAAAAACCAAAATGGCTGCACTAATGCTTCAGTGAAGCTCAGTTTTAAAGTAACCTTTTTCTTCACTTCCGCAAACCTCCCCTCCTCCCTTCTTAGCCTTCTGTTTCAGGTACCACCCTGAAAACAACTAAGGAAGCTGGCAACACATATACAATCCCCGTTGAAACCTGCTAGACCCTGTATTTCCCTGTAAAACACCCCAGCCCCTTCCTCCCGGAAGGCTCGCAATTTTTGAAGGCCACTGCCTGCTGCGGCCTCCTTTGCCCCTGCAAAGCAATAAAGCGATTGTTCCTCTTTATCCCAGACTCCATCTTCGTATTATATTTTGGTTCTGAAGCACGGAGGTTGGTTTCCAACAACACTTGTTTATTGAGATTTGCAGTTAATTCGGGTTCTGCTGTTATTATAATGCAGAAAGCTGTTACTTTAATTCATGCCTGAAAAATCGGAAGAGTTGATTTGTACCATGGATACTAAAATGCTATGGCATAAATACATGTCGCCTACTGCTTGACAAAGGCAGCCTGCCCCAGGAAAATCAGCCAGGTGGAGGCAATTAACGTGATTGTGGCTGAGTGATTCAGCTGGGGGTGGGGACTCACAGAACCCAGGAGATAAGGGGTAGCGTAGGAGTGGAGTTGTGTGATTAAACCTGCAAATTAGCTGGCTAGTCCTGGAACAGTCTATCTGAAGGCTTTTGGGGTACAGGTAGAGCCTGCGTTTTATGGAAAAAAAGAAAAGTAGAGAAGCAGCTATTACATAGCAATACCAAATGGAGTGAGCAAAGGTGGGACAGAAATTTTTTGGTCTGTGTCATGGGTAGTGTAGGGGCCAAGGGCAAGCTGCCCCAACATGGGCCACTTTGGCATGAAGGTTATTTTGAGTTAAATGCAAGCAGATTCAGAAAGAGCTCTTTACCGCCCTCTCAACTGCCTAAAAAGAGTTGAGATAGAGGACCTGCTCCAGGAAGACAGCTGTCGCCATAACTACACTGTGATATGAACTACGCACGATAGGGATGAAGCTAGCAAGACCTGTTTGATCAAAGTCCTCTATGTCCCATTGTTTCTGAGTGGCCCAGCAAACATTTGCTTATCAAACATTTACTCTTCATCCTGTAAACTGCATTCCTTCCCTTTGAAGTCCCAGATGCCTACTTCCTTCTCCTTAATTCAGGATGACATACATACTTCATTATGTCTGTCTTTGGAATTTCATGGCTGTGTGCATTCCTTGTAAGCATAAAATTAAATTTCTCCTGTTGATCTGTCTCATGTCAATTTGATTCTTAGTCTAGTAAGAAGGACCTAGAAGAGCAGAGGAAATTCTTCCTTCCCGACAGTAGCATATCCTTTGAGTTCCCGAAGCTGCAAACACCTCTTTGTTTATGATGAATGGTCAGGAAATCTCATGGACTGTACTTAAATGGAAGGAAGCGTTTGGCAAGCCATCTTATTTCCTCTTGTAGTGTCATCTCCAGATGCCTTTGTGTGAGGTGAGTTAATAAGGCAGCCTTTCCTAAAAGAGGAAGCACATAATAACCGCCACCATCACTGAGCACACAGCACAGAGCAGGTGCCTACTAGGCACGTACACATGTTGTCCCCATTGGGGATGGTGATTGTTTTTGAAAGGAACTAGCTTGCTAATTTTCTTTTTAATTTTTTTTTCTGCTTGTGCTAAATGAGTGAGATATGTCAAATCACACCAAACAGTAGCAATTTTGGAATGATAGCCCTCTTCCTTCTCCAAAAGTGATGGGATGTGGTTTGCAAAAGACAGATATATTCAGAAATACAAAAATTAAACTTGCTCAGGGGTGCCTGGGTGGCTTAGTTGGTTAAGCATCTGCCTTCGGCTCAGGTCATGATCTCAGGGTCCTGGGATCAAGCTCTGCGTCCGGCTCCCCACTCAGTGGGGAGTCTGCTTCTTCCTCTCCCTCTGCCCCCCCACTCGTGCTCTCTCTCTCAAATAAATAACATCTTTTTAAAAAATTAAACTTGTTCATAAGAATATTAAAATAATTCAATTTGGACTAAGCACTAGAGTTATTTTCTAAAGAATTCATCCATGACTGAAAAACACTGAGGAAAGTTACTGCTCTCCCAGGCACACAAATCTGGGAAGTCATTTTGGGAAATGATATGTATGAAGGTGCAAAGAAGGGAGAAAGCATTGCATTTTGAGGGTATGACTCTCAATGAGTACTGCTGGCTTGTAACATGTAATGGGACAGGTTGGGGGAGAGGAGTCAGAAGCCGGAGCACAGAAGCTGTTAAGTCCAGGCTAAAAGGTTAGGTTTTCCCTCATAGGCAGTGGAGAGGTGTTAAAGAATTTTGAGCAAGATCTGAAAAAAATGGGGAAATCACTTCTCTAAATAATCAAATTCCCTGCATGCTTTTATACCAGGCTTCACTCTCAAATGAAGAAGAGAAAGTCCTGTAAAAACTCTGTCTTATACAGAAACAAAGGACAGTAGAGTGGGTTTGTGTCTATATAGTTAATTCTGTTGGTTTGAAAATGTGCCAATTATATGGGCACACATCTCAGGAGACCCAGAGATTTGTGGGATGCATGGAGTACAGGCCACAATAGAGAGGGGCATTAACTCAGGAAGCCTTAAATACAACAGGTAGGGGAAATGGTAGGGAGAAAATTTTTGGTCCGTTTGTTGACAAAACTGTTAAAATGTCTACCCTCGAGTCATGAAATTCTCCAGGGGACTCTGACAGGTTTCTTAATCCTTGGCCGCAAGGGAAGACCATTTTATTTATTTATTTATTTATTTTTAAGATTTGATTTATTTATGTGCCAGACAGACAGCGACAGATAAAGAGAGCACGAGCAGGGGAGGGGAAGAGGGAGAGGGAGAAGCAGACTCCCCTCTGAGCGAGGAGCCTGAGGTGGGGCTCTATCCCAGGACCCCTGAGATCATGACCTGAGCCGAAGGCAGACGCTCAACTGACTGAGCCACCCAGGAGCCCCAGGGAAGACCATTTTAAAGTGAAGGTCATCCTGTACCCTTGCTGGCTGGCTAGAGTGGACATGCAGGTTTAAAAGTCTTTAGGAGCTGACTGTGATGGTTATCCAAAAAGCCCATGTGGCATGACCCAGGCTCCTGCTGGAGTGTGGAGGTGGAACAATAAAGAGAACAATTAAGAATGGTCCCACCTCTAGGGAGGGGTCATGTACTGTCACCGTCTCTTTCATAGAGGCAGACATATGGAGAACATATTTAAGGATGGCCTTGCTTCTAAATTGGTGCCATCCATTGTCATGGTCACTCTTAAGCTGAACAGAGAAGAAAATTACACCCACAGCGTTTGCTAAATAAGGACAGAGAAAATTACCATGCAATTCATATACTCTCCCTGGCTGTCATGCGCGGCCCCTTTCCAACCCAGCAAATAGATTTGTTATCTATCATGCAGGCAGTACCTTGAACTTCGTAAATCAGAAT